AAAATTAAAAAATTACATTGAATTATAATCAAACAATGAAATTCAGCTTTAAATTATTGTACAATAAAAAATAATAAATAAAAAAAATACGTCTAAAACAAGCTTTCAAAATCAAAGTCTTGAATCTTGTTGCATGTCTTGAATCTTGATGCATCTATTAAGACCTGCATAAATTAAACCCAGAATTAATAAAACTTACCAAAAAATGCGAAAAAAAAACAGTACCCAAAAAATTCACGAACTCTAAATTATATATAAAAAAAAAATCGCGAACCCAAATATTTCACAAACCCAGAATAGTTCACGAACTCATGCATGTACCTAGACAAAAAACGATCCAAATATTTTGAAAATCAATTAACCCCAAAAATTTAGAAAATCAATTAAACCCAGAAAAATTTCGAAATCACTTAAACTCAGAAAAATTTCGAAAATCAATTAACTACAAAAAAATTTCGAAATAAATTAAATTTTAAAACCCATAAAATCAATTTCTAACTCCACCATAAATAACAAAACCCACCCACCTTAAACCACCGTAACCACAACCACCACCACAACCCATGAATTCCACCAAAAAAAACAAAAAACAAAATAAACGTAAGAAAAAAGAGAAATTACCTCGATTTTCACCAAAAATCCCCCGAAATTATCTAGAATTTGGGTTATAAAGGTCAAATTCGACCATGAAAACTCTAGATCTAGAGTTTTCATGGTCGAATTTGACCAGAAAACCTTAGGCGGCGAAAGTTAGTGGCGGCGGCGGCGGTTTTCAAAAGAGGTGAAGAGGAGGGAGGAGGCGAGGGAGATAAGAGAAGAAGAGCAGAGGGGATGAGGGGACGAGAGAAAAGAGAATGAAGGTGGACTGAGCTGAGAACGAAGATGAGAACACTACTAGAAATAGGCCTATTTCCGACGGACTGGTTCCGACGGACACGTAAATCTGTCGCAAAAATAGGAATTTACGACGGAAAAGAAATCCGTCGGAAATTTCCGACGGATTTTGAAAATCCGTCGGAATATATGGGCTTTTCGACGGAAAATTCCGTCGGAATTTTTTTTTTTTTTTTTTATTATTACACCGAAACCCTAACATTCCAACGCTCTCTTTTATTTCATTGAGCCGCAACTCCTCCTCTCTTCCCCTTATTTCAGTTTCTCGCTTCCTCTTCTCTCTCCTCTCTTCCCCTTCTCTCTCCTCTCTTCCTCTTCAATTTCTCGATCTTCCCCTGTACAGTCTTCTCTTTCTCTCTCAACTCCTCCTTCTTCCTCCCCCCTCGGTCCCCTTCTCCCTCCACTTTATCTGATCTCACGATCTCCTCTCTCCCCTTAACTTTTCTATTTTCGATCTCCTCCTCTTCTTTCCTTATTCTCTTTCTCAATTCGAACTGAAAATTTTCTCAAGACAAGGGTTCTCACGGTCGCCAATGGTTCTCTTTCTATTTCATACATATTAATGGTTTATACGGCCAAATTCGACCATGAAATCTCTAGATCTAGAGGTTTTAGGGTCGAATTTAGACGTATTAAACCAAATTCGGGTGGATTCGAAGCTTTGGTTGTTAAGGTATGTTTTCTTGTTTTAGGTTTTGTTTCTTTTTTGTTTTTTTTTTATTTTTTTTTTTTTTTTTTTTTTGTTTGTTGTGATTCTGGTTTTTGGCGGTGGTGGTGGTTTTTGGATGGGTGTTGGTAGTATTAGGCTTGTAGATCTTGGTTTGTCTTGGTGGTAGAGGTTGATTTGGATGGGTTAGGGTGGTGAAAATGGTCGTTTTGAGTTAGTGGGTGGTCTGGTTTGGGTTTTTGGGTGGGTCTGGTTCGGGTAAGGGTGGGTGGGTCTGGTTCGGGTTTGGGTGGGTAGATCTGGTTGGGGATAGTTGGTTAATTTGATGTTATTTGTTGTTTTATCGGATTTTTTTTACAATTTATGGTGGTCGTGGGTGGTGGCTGTTGGAGATCGTGTTTGGGGGCTTGGGTTGGGATTTTAATTTTTTATCTTTATTTTTTTTGTTAATTTCTGGGTTGTAATGATTTTCGGTGGTGGCGGTGGTGATTTATGTGGGTGGTGGGGTGGTAGATCTAGTTAGTTAGGCGGCTATGGTGGTTTGGCTGGTTGTGTAAGGTAGGGGTAGGTGGTGTGGGGTGACGGCTTGCGGCAGTGGTACGGGGTGGCGGTGTGCGTTTTTTTTTGTTTGTTTAAAAGCATTTTCCGACGGAAATTCCGTCGGAATTCAGTCCGTCGGAAATTTCCGACGGATTTTTCCGGCACCGGAATTACCTCCTTCGACGGAAAATTCCGTCGAAAATCCGTCGGAAAAGTGTTTCCGACGGAATTTCCGACGGAAAAGGTGCTTTTTCCTACAAAGCCTTTTCCGACAACCAGTTCCGACCGAATTTCCGTCGGAAACGTGTTTTTCGACGGATTTCAAGGTTTTTCAACGGAATTTTTCCGTCGGAAATGGCCTGTTTTCTAGTAATGGAAAATGGGTATGGAGGAGCTGTGAGGAGTGAGGAGAGATAAGTTCAGAAAGAAAAATGGAGGAGAGGGAAGATGAGGGGGCTAGGGTTTGGTAAAAGGGGTTAATATATAGGAAGGAACAAAAGGGGTGGGTTTTAGAAAAGGACGGGTTTTTATTTTTTAACAAAGCCACCGGTTTGAACCGATGGGATTAATATTTTTCCCACCGGTTCGAACCGAACCGGTGGCAATACTAATCTCTCAATATCCCGCCCATTTTTTCCCCTATTTTTGCCACCGGTTTTTGAAAACCAGTGGCCATTGAGCGGTGCCTTTTTGCTTTTTTCTACTAGTGATTAACCTACTTAACATATTAACAATAATCTAGAAGATAAAAACCTTGGCTAAATTAAATTGCTGCGCCGCGCTTCTGTATAGGTAGGTTACTTGGGTTCCATGCAGACTAAGTTCCTTCAGGGACCTTAGCTTGCTGACTTCAAGTTCCTGTTAGGGAACTCGGTTCTTGTTAGAGAGCTTAGTTCTTGTTAGAGAACTCTTCTTCTTTTCTGTTTAACTTTTTGTATAAAGATCTCCTCATGTCTTCTTAGTTCCAGTTACTTCTTCCATCACCACGATCAACTTCACCTAAAATAATCAAACACTTGAAAACCTTTATTAGATGAGTTTGCTTTAGTTAAGTTCGTCATCATCAAAACCTTTAAGCTTTAACATTTTGTTTATACCAGAGGAACAATTTATATTGTGATTATTGCGAAATGAGGAATCATATAAGATAGAAGTGCTTAAAACTGAATAAATATCCTTCTGACTTCAATAACAAAGGAAAGAGAGTTGCATCATCAACTCAACTGCATGATTCTCGTATCTTAGAGTCAGCAGATCTGGTCAATCAAGAATAACACAAACAAATTCTGCATTATCTTGACAAACAACAATCTGCTGAGCAAGGTGAACTCTCTGGAGGTTCAAGTTCTAATTCCCTTGGCTTAGCAGTTACTTCTTACTTGGCAGGTAATTTGTGTCTTGCTTCTTCATTGCTTCCTAAATGGATTCTAGACAGTGGAGCTTCTGATCCTATGAGTGCTGATATTTCAATGTTTAAATCATACTCAAAGTTACATGATGATAGATTTATAACAATACCAGATGGAAAGAAATTTAAAGTTGAACATATATGAACAGTTTTGCTCAAGTCAGGCATTATTCGTAATAATGTCCTGTATGTTCCTGGTTTTCAATTTAACTTGGTGTCAATATCAAAACTCTGCAAAGATGTTGCAGGATCAGCGTCATTTACTAATGATACATGCTTACTTCAGGGCCCTTCTTTGATCAGTCCAATAGTGCTTGGTAGATTAGACAAATAATTATACAATCTTAATGAAGATTACTTGAGTGCAAATAATGTTGTTGATCTTGGAAATTATAGTTTGGCAGCAGTTGAAAAAGCCTAACTTTGGCACCTTCATTTAGGTCATATGTCTTTTTACAAAATAAAGTCTATCAAGGGTACTAATGTACATGGTTTTCATTTCCTACTAGTTCAATAAAAACATGTAAGCCATTTGAACTTATCTATGTAGATGTGTGGGGTCCTTACACTCATGTCACACATATTGGTTGTAACAAGTTTCTCACAATTGTAGATGACTATTCAAGAATGACTTGGATTCATTTTATGAAAAATAAAAGTGAATCTGTTTCTATTATGACTCAGTTTCTTAGTTATGTGAATACTCAAGTTTGAGGGGGGTGTTGGATTACACGATTCAAGTCAACAAGGGTCAGCAGCACAGTCAGCAAGTTCCAGCCCAGCAAAATAGTTTGTTAGAAAGTTGTTAGAGGGTTTTGTAATTTTGTAACTAACTATTGTATAAATACCAAACTCATGTTGTAATTTCATTTCCATTCAATAATAATAAACTTCTATCTTTTTCTACAAGTTTCTCTCTCTTCATTTTTCTCTCTATTTTCTAGAGAATTCTTCCAAAATGAAGCTCAACCGATGAACTTCAACAGTCATTGTGGTTCAACCTTTTACATACCACTAGACTTTAGTTAAAGATTTATAAATTTGTTTGAATTTAGGATGTTAGTCAATGACTTAATTTTCCTATAACTATCAGAGTTTACCAAAAATATAGCACTTTGACCATCAGTTTAAATTTAATATAGAATGTAAAATGTGATAATACATATTAACTAGTCGTCTGTACTCAATTTGAATGTCTTATAAAGAATATACAATGTGATTATTGGAGGGAGTATTATAATAGTCCTTTTTGGGCATACAAACACTCTATAAAGGAAACCATCCTATTCTCATATTCGGGTTTTTGGGTCAAATTTGTAGCTAAGAGAGAGAGAGAGTTCACTTCACAAGTCTAAGGAGGTTCCATCCCAAAATCATATGACAATAGGAGTAACCCTTTAGCCTTATTAAGTGTTTTACTCTCTCTATTTTCCCATAGAATATTGGATTGACAATAACATAATTATAGTATCTAAAGCCTTGAATTCTCAAGGAAAATTTCTATAAAGCATGAAAGACAAAGAAAGAAGGCTGAATTTTATGCCTAGGCCCTGTGCTTACAAGATATGAATATATATTGACTTTAATTAACTACAAATATCAAAAAATTATACAATACAAGAACATAACTGCAAAAGGCTAAATAAAGTATATGCTAAGGAAATTTATTTATATCTTGCTTTGTATAAGAAGTTAAACGCATAACTAGCTAGCTCGCAAAGCAAATTCTTAAAAGTTTCTCTTCAACAGTAAGCTAGCTTAATGTTACCTCGGATGTAACTCACTAACTGTGTCATGATTTTCAGAAAATGGTTTTGACATATTAACACTAGTACTGCTCGTTGTTGTAGTTGAATGTCGGCTTAACCTTGACACAAGAGATGATTCATTACTACTTTGCAAAAAGGATCGAGGGCATTGAGTTATAGGCAATGTGTTGATGGAAGAGCCATTATTGAGCATATGAACAACTGTTGACATGGTTGGTCTCGCTTGTGTGTTCTCTTGTGCACACCATAAGCCTAAATGGAGCGATTTCGTTACTTCTTCCATCAAGTATGAATCTTTCAATGTCGGGTCCATGAATTCCAAGGGTTTGTCCTGTGTTAAACTTCGCCAAGCCTAAGAAAAGTATTGTCATAAAGAGAATGAGTTTGATTTTTGATCTCCTATTTAGCTTGAAATTGAATCAAATATGAAATAGTATACATGAATTATTTATACTCACATAGGTTAAGAGGTCTCCAGTTGTTGGATGGAATCTTGCACTAACCTTTTTACCGCTAACAATCTCCAAAACTAACACGCCAAAACTATAAACATCTGTTTTTACAGAAAATTGTCCATGCATTGCATACTCTGGAGCCATGTAACCGCTACAAGGCAATGTACATAATTACCACACACATAATTTTCTTTCTTTTTTTTTAAAAAAAATGCAATTTTTATTTCTTTAAATTTGTTTCCATAAAAAAATCTTAAAATAAAGTGAACAGAGTCTTTTGTCTTCTAATTTTTCCTTTAAAATGTGACGTTATCTAGTGTTGCAATAAACGTTTTTCATGTTCTTGATTACAGAATAATTACATACAAAAACTAAATTATAAATTAGGTAAAATTGGTATAAACCACCTTTTTTGTCCAACTTTTTTGAAAAAACCACCTTTTTTGTCCAACTTTTTTTAAAAAACCTCCTTTTATGTTTTTTTATTTATTTACTAAACCACCTTTAATTTTAAGTACCTAAACACCACCCTATTTCAAATCTAACATATTGCATCTCAACCTTCCACTTCCAAATCATCAACCATAGAAAAACCTTCCTTTCCATCTCAACCATCACTTCTATTACCTCAATTTAGGGTTTGAATAAACAAATATTACAGTTTATCTTGTAGCAAAATTAGGTTTGGATTTTTAGAGCTTTACTCAATTTAGTCATGCACTTATATATAGAGGAAAGGGTCAAATAATGTTTTGCAGGTGAAAAAATACATGATTTAGGAGCGAAAGGCACAAGTTGTGGGCTCCTTTGACGTCTCATTTAAATTTTCGTCAAAATTTGAAATAGGGGTGGTGCAATCAAGAATTAAGGTACTTAAAAGTTGGTTTAGTAAATAAAAAAAAAACATAAAAGATGGTTTTTTCAAAAAAGTTGGACAAAAAATGTGGTTTATACCAATTTTATCTATATATTACTACAAATAAAAGAGACATTCTATTATATTACGAGCGAGAAATAAAAATTAGGTTCTAAACTGAAAAATAAAGTAAGTAAATAAATAAATAAACTTACTATGTTCCAACAATTCTGCTTGTGTCATCCACTGTTTGTTCAACCTTGAATATTCTTGCCAAACCAAAATCAGCAATCTTTGGGTTCATATTTGCATCAAGTAAGATATTTCCAGATTTTAGGTCACGATGGATGATTCTTGGCTGAGAGTCTTCATGAAGGTAAAGTAGTCCCCTAGCAATGCCTCGTATGATTTCGTAGCGCATAGACCAATTTAATTCTCCCTGCTTTTGTGTATCTACACAGGTATATAAATATACATACCGTTGTTACATGCTTGGAATTAGCATGGTTGATCAAGTTTAATATTGTCAGAGTATGCATTCATGAAACTCATTCAGTGTAAATAAAAACGTTGATGATCATTACGAACACAAAAGATTAACAATGTACATGGACATAGATAGTATATTAAGTTATTTATCAGTATTTGATATTGAACATACCGAATAAAAAGTAGTTGAGGCTTTTGTTGGGAACAAATTCAAACACGAGTAACTTCTCTTCTCCTGCTAAGCAAAATCCCAATAACTTAACCAAATTTCGATGTTGAAGATTGGCAATTAATACAACCTCATTCTTGAATTCTTCTGCTCCTTGGCTAGATACCTTTGATAGCCTTTTAACCGCTATCTCTTGTCCATTTTCCAGAGTTCCCTATGATACGAAGGCATTCATTACGAGGTCATGAAAAATAAATTTAATTAAGTAAATTTCACAAGAATTATTATACTATACTCATCATAGATGTTGAAGCTTAAAGGTTTAGATGATGATGAATCTAAACTAAAGCAAACTCAACTAATAAAGGTTTATAAGTGTTTGACTTGTACAGGTGAAGTTGACCTTGGAGGTGGAAGAGTATCTTGAACTATGAAGACATGAAGAGACCTTTAATGAAAAGTCAAACAATATAGAAGAAGAGTTTTCTAACAAAAACTAAACTCCTTAATAGGAATGTTCCCTAACAGGAACTTAGAAGATGTAAGCTGAAGACAGTAAGTTCTAGAAGGAACTTAGTCTGCGAAGTTCAAGTTGAGGACTGGAGATTGAGTGACAGCAGGAACTTGTTCCTGGTCTGCGTGATGCCCAAGTAATTCAAGTTTACAGAAACGCGACACAACAATAGTAATTTAGTTAAGATTTTATCATCTAGATTTATTGTTAATATGTTAAGTAGATATGCACGAAATCTATTAGAAGCGTGATAAGATAAATTGGCAAATATGATAAAATTGGAAAAGATAAAAAGGGAGCGGTTATTATTGGGTAGTTATGATAGGATTTTTTTTTTTGGTAATTTTGCAACTCGAGAAGGGTAATTTGGGAATATTGAAATTTATAATCCAAAAGGCCCTTTCACTTTATATATAAGATATAGGATATAATTTTGTTGGAGGTTTCGAAGTTTCTTCTATAGTATTGTTGAAAAATATGTAAAATTTTGTTACATGGTAATTTTTGCACTAAAGAACGAAACAAGTATTTCTCTCCTTTCCCCATTCAACCTAGCTATTTCATTTTTTCTTTAATTTCCACTTTAAAAAATATCATCTATCCCTACACATACTTAGTATTGTTTTTCATAGTACTCAATACTTTTTATACAATTGTACAACAAAATCCCTACATTTGCTAGTGATCCATTTAAAAAGAAACAGATTGGGTATCTTAGTTCGTTCAAACTATAATGTGAATATGTGATAGCTAATTCATTCAGTATGTTATATGTATTCGAATCACAGGAATTGAAGGACGTGAGTCATGTGACCCAATGGTTACCTTGTAAACACTGCCAAATCCGCCTTGACCAAGCTTGTTGTCATCAGAAAAGTAGTTCGTGGCAACTTCGAGTGTCCTCAAATCGAACATCAAAGACTCCGCAGTTATCAAATCATCAAGCACTATATATAGCAACATGTGAGACATTTGCCAATTTCATTGTATTATTTAGGTCAAATGAGTAACTCCTTAAAATGAGAAAGATGTTTTTTGCATAGTTTTTGTACTAAATGTGCATATTTTTTTAAATGAATGTGTAAAAAAAAAAATTTGACTCAAAATTGATGTGCATATTTTTTGAACAAATGTGCATAATTTTTGATTTTCCTGAAAAATTAAAATAATTTATCAGTTTGAAACTCAATTATGCGTATTCCATATTTAAAAAAAAAAATGCACATTTATTATAAAATATATGCACATTTGTTCCTTTTCATCATTCTCATTTTAAGTTCCTTCCCATTAGATCTCAACCCATATATTCATAATTCGTTCCGTAAAAATTCAGACTATGAATGAATTGGATAAATACCATTTTTAACGTCTGGAGAAGGGTACTTCTTTGTTTTCTTTTGAAAGACACAAATGCCTGTTATTAACAATCCTATGACCGCTAACGGCACAATGGTCGCCACAGCTACTTTCTTTGTAGTTGCCTTCTTCTTTCCTGAACAAGTATACTAGTTTATTAATGTAACCGTCTTTGAAAATTGAAAGTGTAGGTATTCTTAACTTAAAAATTTGGAAAAATTCACATAAATAATCCAAACTATGATAGATCTTCTCATATTAATCCCAACTATGAGTTATTATTGTTTAATCTAAACTTTAATGTGAGTCGTCTTTTATTACTCCATTTACTTGTTTAATCTATTATAACAGGTTATTTAATTTTTTAATATAATTGATAGTTAATTTTATTTTTATTTTTATTTTTATTGAAAAAATTTGCAATACCCCATTATCCTTCTTGAATGAACCACCACAGTACACCACATTTTCAAAGTCACCACAATGTCCATGTTCTACTCAATAATTGTCAAACCAAATTAAACAAAAAATAAATCTCAATTATATGGAAATTTAGGTAATAAACGAATCAAAGTAACTCGTAACCAACCAATACAAACCCCTGCAAATTAAAAATAAGATAAAATCAACCTTAAACAACTTACAACTCAATTTCAACAAATAACTAAAAAAAAAAGGAAAAATTGAAAGTGCAAACTAACCTTTAAATAGCATAATTGTAGACCATGAAATTAAAAATTTGTTCTTCGGTGGTGTGCGTGAAGAATGAACAAAAATTTGTGAAATGGAAGAACTTGATTTTTTTGGGGGGTTTTTTACATTGTACGGTGGGGTAGTGGGGCAAGTATAGGTTATTAATTGTTTTTGTTTTTACTTTTCTTTCTTTTTTTTTAACGTAAAAGTAAATCATTTTTGGAGGAAGTTGAGCACTACATCTTCTATTTACTTGCATAACCGGTAATCAGTCTTAATGGAGTAATAAAAGAAGACTCAAATTAAAGTTTAGATTATACAATAATAACTCATAGTTTGGATTAATATAAGAAGACCTCTCATATTTGGATTATTTATGTGAATTTTTCCTAAAAATTTACAAGAATTATGAAGCAATGGATACTTTTTTTTTTTTTTTGAAATAAAGCAATCGATACTTTCTTAAACCACAACCTAATTTTTTTTATTTTTCCGCAAATTCTTCTAATCTTTAATTTGGAGGAATGGAATCCCCTTAACAATTTTTATTTTGTAAAAAAAAAAAAAAAAAAAAAATTTAGGTGTTTTCACTTTTCTATTGTTAGTTTAGGTTTCCAGTTTCCTTTTTTTTGAAAACCAAAAACCAAAAACAGGAAACAGGAAACAAGAAAAAGGTGTTTCCACTTTTCATTTGTTAGTTTTCAAAATTATCATAATTTTAATAAGTTTACATAATTTTTTATTCATTATGGGACTTGTTTCGGGGTTTTGTGATGTCCTGCGGGAGAGTTACAATTCCGAGACTGGAACCGGACGCCTGTACCTGCAAAACAAACGGATGCTCCGGATGATTGGAGATCCGCCTCCGACGGTCAAGTTAGTACTTGATTAAGGAGTAATTAATGCGGAAATTAAAGTGATTGAGTCTCTCTAGGTGAGAGTGTTTAATATGTGTATTCTGCGTTTTTAGCGTTCAATCTCCCTTAATGAGGATTAAGGGAGGTATTTATAACCTCGGGAAACGTGTCAATCTAGGTTTAGGTTAACCTTGGGCTGATTGGGCTTCCCTCGGATGTTGGGCCTAGGTGACCGGTTATCCCAGGTGTTATGGGAAGGACACGTGTCGTGTCGTAATTGGTCCATAGTGGACGGATCATTGCTTGACACGTGGCAGGCTCCTATTGGCCCATGTGACGGACACATGGCGGAACTTGATTGGTCCACTTGTCAGATGGTGATTGGTTGGGAAAAATCCCCTAATCATTTGCCCCTCACAGGTGGCACGTGACTGGTCACGTGTTACTTGTGACAGGTATCGCCCTGTAACAGGCGACGGCCTGCTACAGGTGTCACTCGGCGAGAGGCCGAGAGATTCTCCCGCCAAAATTTTGAATTCTGGAAGTGACCCTTCGCCTTCTCACTTCGCCTATATAAAGGAGTGTTGACTTCGGTCATTTTCACACTTGAAAACTTTGTGAGAGAACATTCGGACCCTTGAACTTGCTCTGACATTTTGGACCCTTTCTGCCTACCGCCTGCTCAGACAAGCCGACTGCAAAGGATTTTCAGAACTTCATCAATCGTCACTCGTTCAGGTAACCGTCGGTTCTCTTACTCTTAATTTTCTCTTTACTTTATTCTTTTTTGAAATGGCACCACGGAAGCACACGACACGACCTAGGTTAGTGATCAGCCGGTCACCGGGGACGGCTGAATCTAGGACTAGGAGTGCCGCCTGCCCTTTTCTGGACCCATCTTTGCCCTTTATACAAAGTCCGACTGTATCTGTGTCTATGCAGAGCATGATGGCCAGAACGAAAAAGACTGCCAGGATCTCAAACTCAGACGGCTCCTCCCACAGGGTGCCGATTAGTGAAACATCTGACCAGGCGCCAGATGTGGAAGTGAAACAAAGCGGCTTGAAAGCCGGCAGTTCTGAGGGAGGAGTCAAAGTGACCCCTTCCCATTTTACAGTTGACAATTCTTCATTCTCTCCTGCTCCTTTTAAAGGAGAGGAGGCGGGCCCCTCCGGGAGAGGGGAAGAGTCGTCCTCTTCGGACTCGTCAGAGGACGATTTCGAGTCTAGCTCATCTGGCCATGCTTCCCTGGACACAGAAGAGAAAAACAGTCGCCTACAAGAGGCGAGGCTTTCTCACGCAGTTGAGAAGGGGGACGATTGGGCGGAGCCATCCGCCTCTCACCGAGAGCAAAATACCCCCTACTACTGCACGGTACCTCGGGGCCGGATCACGGCCATGCAAGAGAAAGTGGAGAGCTTTATTGCAAACCACACAATGGGCCCCGGCTTTTTAGTGTTCGTGCCGGATCCAGAAGACACAGTCGTATGGCCGGCTGGTACCAGTTATGATGGCGCCTGCTTTGGCTGCTACGAGGCGGCCATTAAGGCTGGGCTGCGCTTCCCACTACATCCAGCTGTTCAGCGGATCTTGGATGGGTATGAGTTGGGGTTATGGCAATTAGCCCCGAACTCCTGGGTCAACGTACTCGGCTATGTGGCCGGGTGCGAACTGCACGGGGTGGAGCCGAGCTTCGAGGCTTTCGCCCACATGAACTACCTCTGCCGGACCCCTAAGGCAGGCGGTACCGGCTGATATCAATTGACGAGCCACAGGGGCTACCTCATGACGAGAGGTAAAGCAAACAAATGGAAGAACTGGCGGAGCACCTTCCTCATCATTGAGAGTTTAGACACAGAGCTGAACAAGCGCTTCAACAGGTGGAACAGGAATCCGCCCCTTCTTGCAGGCGGCCGCAGCATGCCGCCTGTTCCCCTCAAGGCTAAGAAAGAGATCCTAGATAAAGGACTCTTCAAAGTAGAGTCGAAGGTGAACTCTACTTCAGGGGTACGAGAGCAAGTACCCCTGCACTGCGTCCCGAGCTTCAAATGGCTCTACGACGAGTACTTTTTGGCCGCCTGTGGCCTCAGCAGTCGGTGCTCAAGAGGTAGCCGGCCTGTCGAATACTCTGCTGTTCCGTGCATTTCTTGTTATGACTTTTATTAACTTTGCTATTTTGCGGGCCATGTTGCGGGCCTCCATCATGCAACAGTCTTCAACCGACTCCCCCAACAAGGGGGCACCCTTGGTGGGCTTCGAACCTTTCACCCTCTTTTTGGAGTTGTGTTTATGCATATACTGACTCTTTTCTTCTTTTTTAGACGGGCGCTCCAAGAGCTTCTTCTTCCCAACAGCCGGACCCCAAGGCCCGGAGGACGACTGTTGCGAGCTCTCCTGGTTCTGCCAGGAAACATGCGGCGGCTGAGAAACAGCCGGCCACTTCTTCTAAAACTCCAGCTGGGCCACCTAGAAGTATGAAATTGTCCTTGTAAATTTTAGACTTGCACCCTTCTTTACTAGGTCTAATCCGTTTGTTTATTCTTGATGCAGCCGGCCCTCAGGAGCCTGACTTGGTCGAGGTGGCCAAGTCTATGATCAAGGGCGTTCCTCCAGCTGAAAGGGAGGCGGTCAGGGGTGTCGGCACCCTTGACCTAGACGGGATTGCAGGGGTCCTTGCTGAGGTATACTTAGCATATTTTTGAGTATTTGAATTCCAGGACGCCTGTTTTCTTTTTGTTTGGAAACTGACGCCTGTTCCCCTTTGTACTTAGGCCCTGCTCCGAGTGAACGGCCTTCGCAAGCCGCTTGACCGGAAGAACAAAGAGGTAAAGGCTGCAAAAGCTATGGCCGCCTCTGACTGTGATAAGGCAATGTTTCAAATTGCCCAAAATGAAGTTCTGACCATTGATATTCTTTATTATCAGGCGCAGGCTACCGCCGCTATGCGGGCTCAGTTAGAGGCGGCCTAGAAGAGGAATAGCGAGCTGGAGGCGACCATCAACAACCTCAAGGCCGAGCTGAGACCTCTTCGCCAAAAGATGTCCTCATACGAAACCTTGGAGAAATCCTTGGCGAGCGTAAAGGTACGCCTGGTGACCCAGGAGAAGAGTCTTACTTAGGAGCTCTCGGAAAAGGCCGAGCAAGAAAAGAAAGAGCTGGTCCGGGAGATGATGGAAGACTCTGCTCAAATCCAGCGCATGACTTGGGGCCGCCTCTTCCCCAATGCCGACTTTGCCTCATGGGAAAAAACGTACCGCCAGTGTTCTGATAGATATAATCAGGAGATCCTGGCGGCTGCTGAGGAAGAGGCGTTGGCGGCTGCTGAGGAAGAGGCGTTGGAGGAGGAGGAGAAGCCGGTAGTGGCGCTTGTGCCGCTTGGGGGTAATGCATCAAAGAAGGATGCAGCTGAAGCCGAGTCCAGCAAGAAGAGTGTTGACCAGGCGGCAGCTGCTAATATTGAAGATCTGCCCCCTTCTTAAGCTTTATGTCTTCTTTCCACGGCCTGCGTGCCGTTTGTTTGTATTTACCCGGCCAGGGGGCAGGGGCTCTGAATATTTTGCCGGTCTTTAATGACCGGCTTCTTTTT